CGCCTCCACCTCCAGCTGCCTGTGCTGCCTGTCCTGTCACGGGCCCATGGCACTGGCCGGCCCCCAGAGCATCTGGACAGCCACTCTCCAACAATCCCACTTTCCCCGAGGTTGTAACACCCATCTCCACTGCAGCAGCCTCACTAGCCTCTCCCATGGGGACCCAGCATGGGGTTCCCAGCCCAGTTCCCCATCAACACCTACCACTAAGGCATGGGCAGGTGGAGTGGCTCAGGGAGGACATGGGCTCCAGGTCTGCCTACTGGGGTCCCGCTCCACGTCTCCATCCAGCATGACCCTGCCCTGCCTGGGTTCCTCCTTTCCGAGGGGGCCTTGACAGTGGCCTCCTGCTGGTGTTGTGAGGTGCCACCAGGACTCCTCTGTGAGCGACCTTGGGGACACAGCATGCACAGCCAAGGCCCTCCCAGGGCACAGCCAGCTGCAGGGTTAAGCAGAGAGGGCAGAGGCTGCACTCCACCCTGGGTGAGCGTCAGCCCTCTGAGGAGCTCGCACCCACCACAGATCCACAAGCAGAAGCGGCAACCCCCAGCCTGGGGCAGGGCACCCTCCCCGCATCTGGTCTCCAGGGCCAAGAGGAGCTATTGTGTGCTGGCCGCATGAAGGGCCTCTCTACGGACACACAGCATCGCCTCAAACGTCTACCTCGCCCTGGGTGCACAGTGGCACCCATCAGGGACTCTCTGGAAAGGGCATCAGGGCACAGGCGAGGTGGCTGCCCCCAAGAGCAACTCTATCCCTGTGACCCTCAGCCACCCCCCCTATGAGCTGTACAAGGACCACGTGGCCTCTCTACCACCTGGGCAGTGGGCCTTCGTGGGCAACACAGGCCTGTCCTCGCTGGTCTGGGGCTTTCTGACACGGGCGTTCATCTAGGAGCATGAAAGACAGGGCAGGATCTGCCCGGCTCACACTGCAGGACTATTGGACAACGGCAGGTTCCGGGGGCAAATCATGCCTGCCAACCAGACCTGCTGCTTCCACCCACTGAGAGGACAGCCAGCAGGGCTCCTTCATCAGGGAAGGGCACAGGCAGCCAGCTGTGACTTGGCTGTGATCCCGGCTTCTGGCAGACCTGGCCTCCCAGCGCCACGGTGCTGGGTCACAGCCTGGACGGCTTGTAGTTCAGCATCTCACAGGCCTCGACTTCATGTACCCCCATGTAAGTGAGCAGTTGGGGTGTGGCCTCCATGCCGGCAGCTGGCCTTGGACCCCAGCACCCCTTCCGCACGGCCAGGCCCCACAGGGCCACTGGCCAGTGGTGTGATCGGGTTGGCTTTCAGCTACCCCAGGGCCTGCCACCACTGCACTTGAGTCCACACCACAGCACTGCACCTCTGGCCAGACAGCTGCTGGGCCGATGGCTGAAGACTGCTGAGGAGAAAGGGTTTCAAAGGAGGGAAACTATAGCTCTTCACTCAGCAAAGCAAGAGCCAAACCCTCGAGTCACCCAGTGACCGAACGACAAGGAAGTGGAGGAAGGGCGTGAGCTCCACGGGGAAGTGCCTAGCTTCCCACGGTGGCTGAGCACCAGCTAAGTCACTGCTCTTCTTTCACCACCAGATGCTGAAATTCCAGCTCAAGCAGGAGCAAAGGGAGCAGCGGCTGAAGGAAGCTGGCCTGGGAACCCAGTAGCCCTGGCTCCATCCTCGCACCCCAGCTCCAGGTGGTCTCTGGGGTGTTCTGGGCCCCCAGAGTCCCCATCTTGGCATGGTCAGCCCCCAAAGCTTGCCTCACAGATGCAGAGGGTGGACATCACACACATTCTGCCAGCCTGTCCCATCCCCAGCAGCTGACACTCACCATGGCTCCCAGCAGCTGCTGGGCCCCCCAGGGGACTCACCCACTGGCCTTGTTGGCCGCAGATCCACTGCCCGGCCTCAGGCCCACTCAGGACATCACTGGCTGCTCCCTGCCACAGGCAGGCTGCTGGCTGCAGCCCCACAGGGCCACATCCCAGAGCCCTGGACACGGTGACCTCAGGGTCTGATGGCACCTGGCAGGGCAGGTGCTCCATGCTTGGCCCCTGGGCATCACAGATGCCATTGGCCACAGCCCAGGCCTGTGGGGACAGCTCCACCATCACCAGCCAAGATGGGCCTCCCAGGGCATCTGTGGGAGAGTGAGGATGATGACGCCGAACCCTAGGGATCCCCAGGCCCCAGTCTAGTGTTCACGTCCTGGGGCCAGGCACATCCATGAGGGCCTTGAAAGGCCAGGGCACATCCTCAAAGCCAGGCACAAGGGGCACAAAGCCAAAGGAGGCGTGAGACAATGTCTTCCGAGGCCGATGTCCACACTGGACATTGCCTGGGAGCCCCAGGCAATGCTGCCCCTTCCGGGACCCTGTGCCTGGTAGCCAAGGAGCAGATGCAGCACCCCCACCTCCTGCCCTGGGCACACACAGTCCCTGAGCCTCCACACCATGCCTCGTGTTGGCTGTGACAGGCACCAAGGGACTTACTAGGGAAGACCGCAGGAAGCCCAGGGGTCCCCAAACCTGGGCAGAGGATGTGAACCCTGCAGGGGAGGGAGAGGGGAAGCACAGTGCCTGCCACAGCCGTGCTGCAGGGACTGAGACCCAGAAATGTCACGGAAGGAGAGTGTCTAAGGGCAGTGGGGCTGGGCCTCCAACTCCAGATGCCAGGCAGAGAACAGACAGGGAATGCCCGCCTGGTCCACAGACCACTCACCTGCCCCCTTGCACCATTGCACTGAATGTGGACGTGGTGGACCAGGCCATCTCTGCACTGCCGTTGGCCCAAGACAGGGCAGCCAGAGGACCCCAGGGGCCATGTCACTCACTGTGTCCTCCCCTCCTGCAGATGTGGCAGTCCCTCGACTTACACATAGGCGGGTCCCCAGAGCCCCTGCTAAGATGCCACTCCTGGAGCTGGTGGGACACTGCCTTTTCAGGCTGTATTTCACTCACATCAAAACCCAGCTGGCAGGTGCTGGGGATTTAGCTCAGTGGCACAGTGCCTACCTGGCAAGTGCAAGGTCCTGAGTTCGATTCCTGGTACCGGAAAAAAACAAAAAACAAAAAACAAAACTAAACAAAAAAACCCAAAAAACAAAAACAAAACCCAGCTGGTGACAGTGACTGTCCTCTGAACCGTTTCCCACCAGCCGCAGGGGTGCTGGGGAAATGAAAGGCAGCCTAGCGATGAGCTGTGCTCTGAGGGGACCACCACTGCCCCTCCTTGGACAGCCGCTGTTTACAAAAGCTGTGGCCCAGCACCACCACAACCACCACCCTGCTACTGCTGGTGACTCCAGCCACCCACAGCCTCAGCTGCCTCCAGTGTCGTCAGTCCCACTTGTTCCCCTCACAGCCATCACCGATGGGCCATAGCCCGGGCCTCCGAGGCCCTGAGGGAGGCCACCCCGCGGCCCCGCCAGGACCTGCACAGCCAGGAGGGGACTCCGCCCAGGACATTGATACTCAAGGACTCTGGGGCCCACAGATACATGTGGTCAGTTCTGGAGTGAGGGGTGGGCAGGTGAGACGGGCTTGGATGTGCCCTGACCACACACAGGGTTACTGCCACTATTCCACAGGCAGAATGGTGCCCACCGCAACTCTATGTGAAACACGATGACTTCTGTGAGGTTTGGGGTTTTCCGCCAGGAGGACATGGATGATACGGGAGCCCTGGATACAGTGTAGAGATGGTGAAGGCAGGGGATGGGAGGGAAGGCCCAGCACCTGCTGTTCCCCGCTGGGCAACCACTGGACCCCACTGGACCTGAGGCAAGAGCTGCCCACGAGTGGGCCTCCGTCTGGCAGCAAGGACATGGCTGGGAGAGGGCTGCACACACCTGGGGTCTCAGGGCTAGGGTGGGGCCTGGCCAGGCCTCTGGGACAGTGGCTGAGGACAGCAGAGGACAGCCTGGGACAGCAGCACGATCATCTAGCAGCCGAGGTGTGTGGTATACGCCTCAGTCCCACACCCAGGATGCACTTGGGGTGGCATCAGCTCTGTCACCACCCTCTGCTCTCAGGCTTCCTCAGGGCCAAGTCCTCAGGCTGAACAGTCAGGGGTCAGGGAGGCTCAAGCCCGTCACCTCGAGGCGGACAAAGCCCAGTGTCACACCTGATCAACAGCAGCCTGAGAGGCCAGCCCCGAGAGCCTGTGAGCTGGCCACCAATGTGCCCACAAGCAGGCATGACAGCTCCTGGGTCCTCACCGTGCCCGGCAGAGACCCATATGCCTCTCCCGCCTTCACAGACACAGCATTCCCACCCGGGAAGCACACAGCGACGCGGCTGCATTCCTCTCTGAGCGCCAGGAGCCCTGGCTCAGGATGGAGCTGCAGCATCCGCACACACACCCAAGACTTTCCACCCACAAGGGGCAGAAGTCCTCCCACGGCGGACACGGACCGCCGGGCCTGGCACGGTGCTCACACAGGATGTGGAGTGGCGGAGCCAGCAGTGGGTGAGGGGATCTCAGGCCCCTGGCATGGCCTGCTGCCCCTTATACCAGTGGAAACCTAGCATCCACTGCAGCGTTGGCACATAAGCAAGGGGCTGCTTTGCCAAGATGCCTCTGGGGCCTCCAGGCTGGGACAGCTCTGGTCCTGGATGCAGAGCTTCCCAGTCCACCCTCTGAGACACCCGGCAGAAACAACACCCTGCGACCCTGAGCAGTAGCTGTGGTCTGAGTGGCCTCAGCTGTCCAAAGTTGAGACCTCCCTGCCGATCTGTGGTCACTGTGGAAGACAGGGCCAACCTGCTGAACAAGGACCCCCCAACTCCGCCTGGGGACTGAGGCTCCGGCCCGGGATCTCCAGTCTAGAACACCCTGGCCTCTCCCATACCCTCTTTCCCAACTTCACCACTCCATCCCAGCCGGGCTCCAGGACCCTCCCACCCAGACCCAGCGGTCCCCTTGCTTGGCCTTCCTCTACGGCCGGCCGCGCGGTCTCAGCCCGGGCGCACCCTCCTGCTGGGTCCCCTACCGATCCCCGCCGCCTACCTGCTTGTCCCGCGTGCGGTGCTCCGCGCCGCCCCGCCGCTCCGCCTCCTCCGCGCCCCTGCGGCCGCTGGTGAACGCGGTCACCGCGAAGCTGTCGCCTGGCGGGAAACGTGCGAGTGCGGGGCACGCGTGAGCCCCGGCCGCCCCTCCCTCCCCAGCCAGCCCGGCGAGGTCGCCCGGCGCTCACCTTCGGGACTCTCTCTCCGACGGCACGCGGCGCGCGCGGGGGCCCGGGGGCGCGCAGGGGCGCTGGGAGGCCCGGCCCGGAGCGTGCCGCGCTTGGACTGCTGGGTCCCCATCCGCAGGCTGGCCCTGGGTCGGGGTCGGGGTCGGGGCCCGGGCAGGAGAGGGCAGAGCTGGCACGGCTCGGAGACAGCGGCAGCGGCGACCCGGCTCCCTCTGAGAGCGCGCGCCCGCGCCGGGCTTTAACCGCGGCCTCCGCAGCGCCCCCCGCGGCCGCGGCGAGCGGCGCACGGCTCCGCCCGGGACGGTCGCGCAGGTGGGGCGCTGGGGGCGCAAAGACCAGGCCACCAGGGTGTGTAGGGGCCCTGCGCCAAGGTCCTGGCTCTTGCGGATCCGCATCCACCATCCCCGGACGAACCGAGGATCCCCAAACTCCAGGGGCTGGTCCTCTCCCTTCCAAGGGAGGACCCTGGGGATCAGCGGGATATAGAGACCGACCTGCCTTGCTTGGCTGTCGGGGGCAAAGGGACAGAGGAAGGACACCCCCAGCGACTTGGAGATGAAGCGGGTGAGAAGAGTTCTGCCCAAAGAACCAGAATCCTCCCTGGGCTGGCCTGGACCCCGCACCCCTCCAGGAGGTCTGGCCCTAGTCCGCTGCCCACCATGGATGAGGTTGTTGCTGGTCACCATGCCCACCCTTGACTTCGCTGGACTAGGGCTGTGAGCTGTGCAGGAGGCACCAGCTCTCCTCACCTGCCAGCCGGGCCATTTGGCTCTGCCCCCTTTTTCGGCCCTCTCTGTGCCCACCTGTAGGCATCTGCTTGGGTGTCGCCCACCCTTGCCCACTTCCCTCTTTCCTTCCAGAGACTCCTCTCCTTCCTCCTCCTGGACCCAGCTGCTTCCTCTGGGACTTCCTCCCGTCACCCACGCCTCTTTCTCTGGTACCCAGTCTAGGGCACGGTCACACGGAGCACATGTCTGCTAACAGTGCCCTGTGGTGGCTTTATGGGCAAACACCATTCTTCTCCAGATCCTCTTGTTCCTCCGGGTGTCCAGAATGGGTAGGAATCCCCACCACTGGCCACTGCTGGCTCTCAGCCCTCTGTGTGGCTGCTTAGCAGGTTTCTGAGGTCCCTCCCTGCTCACCGTGTCCCTGCCAGCCCGCCTCTGGATCGGCCAGGTTCCTTCTGCCTCCCTGTTCCCGCCTCCCTTGGGTGATGCCACCCCCACGTACATCCCTGTAGTCCTCTGCTGCCTGGACATCTCCTCCCTCCCGCCCTATCACGCACAGTGGTGGAGCTCCGGGCCAGCTGAGCCTCGTGTATGTCTCACCTCAGCCATCCTGTCCAGCTAGCCCATCTCCAGCGGTTGCTGCCATCACCCCCCGTGGAGGCCTAGAGCCCTTGTAATTGGCCCAGGGTCAATGATGACATAAGCCAGCTCATGAGACACATAGAGGACATACAGTGACATCCAGCAGCTGTGTGCATGTTCACTCGTGCACGCGCGCACGCACACGCGCACACACACACACACACACACACACACTGCAGTGGCCGTGATTTTGATGGCTATGATTTTGATGGCCATCTTCTGGACCCCTGTGTACTTAGTGAGCGGTGTGGGGGGCGGACCTGGCCACCAGTCTGCCCTTGCTGTCTCCTCAGAGGCTGGCATCCCTGCCCTCAGAGGTCCTGCTGCTGCTCAGGCGGTGGACAGCCTCCTTCCTGAGAGGCAGAGGGTTGCCAGAGTGTCACTGCTCTTGGCTCTGGACACCGGGCAGGCTCCTTGTGTCCTCTCCCTGGTGCCAGGCCAAGGCTGACTGCACAACGGAGACGACTCACATGGCCTCCAAGTCCACTGGCACAGTCACTACAACAACCATGCAGAAAGCCGTGTGTTGTGAGTTTTCCCTGGAAAATGCCCCACCCTGGGTCTTACCTGAGGACCAGGGATGCAGCTCTGTCCTGTTGGTGTGGCAAACTACACCGGCTCGAACAGATGGGGGGGTGGTCACAATGTCCCCTGCCAGGGCAAGGAGGAGCGGGGAGGCTGGCAGAGAACCTCAGTCTGCACTACCCCTCTCCCTGTACCCCCTGCCACTTCCAGAGAAATCTGTGTGCCAGGTGGACGCTGTCAGCAGGGCAGGGAGCACCTGTCACTTGAGTAAGACCCAAGGGCGTTCTGCTGGGTGCCGAGGTCCCGGGGTCCCCCCTCACTCCCTATTGGTACAGTTGCCTGCCACAGAGCAGCATCTTGTAGCTGACAGGCCCTGGCAAGAAGACATGCTCATAGAGAGTAAAGTAACTGCATGTCCCGTGGATGGGCTGCAGAGCCCACATGGGTCTGGGATCTGCCTGCTGCCTGCACCATTCAGAGGCTGCAGCTTCAAGGTTGCCCAGCTGTAGGGGAGCGGACGCCAAGCCAGGGCTAACGAGAGCAGGCACCGAGACAGGCGGGCCTGGCTGGGGAGCGGGGCCAGCACAGTGGGCATCGAGCTTGGTACACGTGACTTCCAGGCGGCTCCTGTGAGCACCCCTCTCTCCACTTGGGGCTGTGTGTGACACAGAGGCTGTGTGTGACAGCAGCTCTGTCTCTGGCCAGACCTGCCCACAGGAGCTGATGGAACCCCGCCCCACCCTTCCTCTTCCCCTGAGAGCCCTCACGGTTGTTGCTGCCCTGAGACCCTTCCTGTGACCCCAGAGCTGGACCTGGTCATCGCCCTGCTCCACATCCTCTGTGGCGGAGGTCCAGGGTGGCCAGCTCTGCATTCACTGTCTCCCAATTTCCACATGGAGCTGCTGGCTACGGGCTGAGGCGGAGGGAGTGGGCAGAAAGCCTCCTCGGTCCACGCAGTAGGCCCCAGGGCCAGTGCTCAGAGGAGGGGCTCGAGTGAGCTAGCAGGGCTGCTCCCACCCCTCCCTGCCCTTCCCCGACACTGTTGCTGCTTGCATGCAGGTCCATCCTCTAGGTCAGCTGCCCTTGCCTCTACCTGGCTCTTATCGTGCTGCGTCCTTGCCTGTGCCCCCAGTCCTGGGGCCCTGGCGTACATGCAGGGAGGGCACCAAATGTTTGCGGGCCCACAGTGCAGCCCTGCGATTGTGCCAGCGGGGCCCTTCATCCCAGCCTCGGAGAGCAGCCCTGAGCTCACCCCACACCCTCTTCCCAGAGCCCAGGTCAGGGTCTTCCCGCAGGACGCTGCCTTGAACCCAGAGCCCGGGCTACTTGGGGAGAAGATGCAGTGCCCGCGGTGCTGCCACCTTGGTATCAATGGTGACTGTGCTGGGGAGCTCCCAGCCATGGGCGAGGACCGTGTCGGAGGTCCAAGCACTGTCCATGCTGGGCTTGGGCAGCCTCTCCTGGCCGAGGGCACAACAGGACGTGTGACAGGGACACGAGAGGCATGCAGCGGAGTCGGGACCACAGCGCTGGCAGGGATCCCCAGAGACAGATGGGGGCCTTCTGCTGGCCTCCTGGTCCCCTGGGGTCTGTTCTGCACCGTGCCTCAGGGCCTGTCTGCCCCTCCCTCCCAGCCTGCCCTGTGTGTATGGAGGGAACTGCAAGTTTATTTAGGGCTTGGTGCACAAAACATTGCAGCACCCCCTAGAGCCGTGCCAGGACGAGCCCTGCTACCCTGCTTCCTCCCTGGCACTTCTCCTGGGACACGCTGTGGGGTCACAGAGGCCAGAGGGTCTCCCATCTCCACAGAGAGCGGCACGGCCCGCACCCTGGGCTTCTCTGTGACTGTCCTCTAAGTCTGCGATCAGCAAGGAGGTTCGAGCTGGCCCTGGGATGGTGCCAGACCTGAGCAGGGACTTGGCAAGGTTTGGGGCCCTTCCCTGAGGCGCCCACACACCCTTAGTGAGGCTCTGCTGGCTCGGATGGGCAGGGCCTTTTTCTCCTCCCAGCAGGTGTTCAGGGGGGTGGGACACCAGGGATGAACCCCCAGGGTCTCTCCGCACTTAGCTGATTGCTTGTGACCCATGCATGTGTGTTCTCTAAGCTCTATGGTGCCCCATGGTCACTCGGGTGGTTCCCTGCTCTGCAGGTTTAATTATGAGACGCTGGGTGGGGTCCTCACCTTTTCATCCTGCTAATGGGTATCATTATGGTTTTCCCAGCCCAAAGATGGATTGTAAGGATAGAATCAGGCAGGGACTAGCAGGGGAGCCCAGCAAGTCAATGTGGCTGTAAGGAAGGCACAAGACACTGTTCTGTCCCAAGCCAAGCCAGCCTGACCACACTACAGCCGAGCAGATAGCGGCTCTGCACGCAGGAGGCCGCAGGCTCAAGTCCTCTGGCTCCTGGGGTGACTCAAACTAGTGCCCAGCTCTCAGGATACATGGCGACACTCCTGCTGCAGCCCTGGCCCCCAGGCAGCTCCCCAGATGTGACCTCCTCCCGGGAGGGGACATGTATCCTCAGGCAACACCAAGGGCGCTTTCGCATGCATAAGCCTTTCAGGATTTTCCAGTTACACTCCTGGGTAGGGTTACAGCGACCTGGCCCCAGCTGTAGGATGCTGGTGACCCCAGTCATGCAGATGAAAGCCAGCATAGGGCAGTGGGGACCACCCCCCCTCCACAGGATACTGGATGCCTGGGGCCATGGGGCTGAGGCTCTGTCTGGAATCTCTCCTTTCCTGGATGAGTAGAAGGGGACACCAGGATCTGAGGCAGCTGGCAGTCTTCGAGGGTTTCCTTTGGGGGAGGTAGAGCAGGTCTCCTGTGCCAGGGGAAGCTGCAGGCCACCCTCTACCTAGAGCCCCCATTTCTCATAGGTTGGAGACCTTGGAGAGGTCACACACAGCCAAGGGATTGGAAACAGATCCTGTGGACAGGTGCAGGGAAGGAAAGAGAGTCTGTCCTGATCCCCGGTGGGGGCATCTGAGCCCTGGGGGTGCATCCACAGAGGTCTAGGCTACTCCCTGCCCCAGTGGCCATAGCACCACCTTCCTGGCCCCTGGGCCTTGTTGGGGAGGGCTCACTGTGGGTCTGCTGTCTTGGCTTGGGGAGAAGCCCACCTCCACATACCAGTTCCTGGGGCTGAGTCACAGCTCACAAGAGACCCCCATTGCTCACTCTGGACTCTACCTCCCCTGCACCTGCAGACTCAGCCACTTCCACACCTGTGGCTTTTGTGGCTCTGCCCGGTGCCCCTGCTGCCCTGCACCCAGTAACTGGTCATCAAGTGGGAACAGGGCTCACTCTTCTGTTTGAATCTGTCTCCATGGGGCCAGGGTCATGGGGCC